ACATATTGGTAGTTGGCTTTCCTACTCCACAGTTTTCCAAATCTCTGTTCTCCTTAAATCCTTTCCCATGCCATTTCCCACCTGTTCTCAGAAGATGCTACTAAATACTTCACATAAAAACAAATAGTATTTATCTCATAAATATACTTTACTATCCTATTCCTACACTTACAGACTTATATGCACTTATATCAAGCCTTCCTCCTATCTTCCCACATTCCCACAAGAGATGTCTGCCTTCCTCAATGACCTAGTTATATCACTCATGCCCTTCATGAGTTACATCTTCAAACTTTAGAATACTTTCCTGGCTTTTTTCTGTCATGACCAAATATTTCCCATCTAAAAACATCTAAAAAAAATCAGAACATCGATCAATTCCATTCTCCATTTGTTTTTAGTTCTACCTTGTCTACTCTTCCTCAAGGCCAAATCTGTTAGGTTTCTGGCACTTGCGGCATCTACTTCCATACAGGACATTCACTGTCTCTACACTTCCCATCAAATTGACCAGTGACCCATATGTAACTAAATCCAATGGAAGGACTCGTCTTACTGGAGACTCCTCTCTTGAAATACGTTCTTGCTTTGGCTTCATTTGAAACCTCATAATCTTGGTTTTCCTTCTATGTCTATAGTTGTCTTTCCCAATCTTTATTTTGGGCTCCTTTTTCTGCCTATATGTTCAAGGATCTAGCTACTTCTCTTCATTCTAAGAACATTCTCTGGGTGACATGACTTAATTCCATGGTGATAACGCTAAAATTCATCTCTAGCTAGTAGTTGTCTTCTAAGTTCCAGACACACACATCTGAATATTTATTGATTATTTCCATTTGGATGCCTCATTGACATCCAAAGCTCAACATGTATAATACTGAACTTGGTCTCTTTTCCACCAAACTTGATCCTCTGTCCTCTGGTTCAGATCTCAGCAAATGATGCCTCAGGCCACTGATTTGCCAGGACCTTAAGGAACTTCCTCTAACTCTTCTCTATCCTTCTATTCTGACAGCCAGTCAGTTAATATGTCCTAAGTTTGTCAATACTGTGTTCTCATTTCCATAGCTTGAACAAATGCCCACTTCACTTTGTGCTCGTGTTCTTGAGTTCTGGCCCCCTTTTCTAATTTTATGTCTCTTCAACACATTTACTACACTGTATCCAGGGTGGTCTGTCATGTCAGTCTCCAACTTAAAACCTTCTACTGTTTACTGCCATCAGGACAGACCTCAAGTAATCATATCTGTTGATTTTGCGCCAGCTTATTTCTCTGGCCTTATTTTCTCCACTCCCCATCTCTTTTTATATGTCTCTGTGCCATTGGACCATTCATACTGCCCTGAATTTGCTATGTCCTGATACCCATGAGCCTTTGTATATGCTGCCATCTTGGTCTGAAACTTTCCTTCTCCAACTTATTTTTTACTTGATTAATCCCCATGTCTCCTTATGTCTCCATTTAGAGGTTTCTTCCACTTTTTCTGACTTCTCTACTGTATGTTGATTTTTTTTCTTTTTGCCATCATAGCACCTTGTAACAAGAATAGTCATATATAGACTCTATAAATAGACATATATATATACACATTTTTATACATGTGTGTGTATATATATATGTGTGTGTATATATATATATATATATATACATATATATATATAGCTGTTGCTAATAACACTTGAGCACTTATTTTATGCCAGGATCTGTTCTAAGTGGGCTGTATATCTTTTTTTAAATATATTATTTATCTATTTTATTTTAGACAGAGAGAGAGAGAGTGTGGGAGCACATGTGAGTTGGGGGAGGGGCAGAGGGAGAGGGCGAGAGAGTCTTAAGCAGGTTCTACACCCAGTGCGGAGCCCAACTCTGGGCTTGATCTCACAACCCTGAGAATTTTGACCTGAGTTGAAACCAAGAGTCAGATGTTTAACCAACTGAGTCACCCAGGTGCCCCATGGGCTAATATATCTTAACACCTCTAATACTCACAACAACTTTATGAGGTAATTATTATTATTTCCTCAGATAAGTAATATAAGCTACAGAGAAATTAAGTAAATTTCCCAAGTTTCTACAACTAATGACATAAGTAGATTCTGAATTTAGGCACCTTATTGAAGAATTTACAAACTTCAACATCACATATTTGTCTACATAGAAATACTTTTGATACTGTGTCATAATCACCTGTTTGTACCTGAATTCCTAATTCAACCCTAGGTTCTTAGAAGGAAGTGGTGCCCCTAACACCAACACAGAGATGACCACATAGTATGCTTCTGATAAATATTATTTGAGTAAAAAAAAGAACAAAGTGCCCTGTGACTCAAAGACGAAAGAGTCTTTGCCTAAAATCAGCTTTACCCTGATCTAGCCTCAGTGTCTGTATTGTGACATTGACAAGAATGCCAAGTGACTTGCTACCATCTAATCACCCCATATATCTTTATCTCCAAGAGTTTACAATCCTGTCCCATTCCCCTCATGTACTTTACCCAGTCTTGTCCAACTGCTAACGTCCTATTCATTCTTCCAAATCCCCCTCAGAATTCACTTTATTCCTGATCATCTTTTTAGATTCTAGATTCTTCTTTTTAGATCCTAGATTTTAGTTCCTTCATACTTTATACATTTAAACATCACAAACAATGATGACTACAGTAATAACAACATTAAATGATACCATGATATTTTTTCACCCTTGGTCTATTTTCTATTCATCTTTGTGTCCCAAGTACTTATGTGTAGTGCCTAGCACTCAGAAGGTGTTCAATAAATGTTTGATGGGTTGATGGAATGATATTAGGTTGGGTTTGTCTCTGTAGAGTACCAAACAGACATCTTGAACTCAGGTGCATTATGGCAGTTTAGTCAGCTCTGATACTGGCAAAGAATTGATTATTATTTGAGGTGTCCAATAGGGGCATATTGGGAAATATGAGAAGAAACTGTTATAACACTTTTGCCCATTTTACTTTCCTGATTTGATCAAGGGTTGGGCAAAGGATACACTATTTTTCAGAAGTCATTCAAGTTGTGCCCATCAGGACAGTTAACACACTTTTGGAAGGTAAGTAGTCTATTTTCATTTAGCTGTAGACCAAAGATGCCAAAGACGTCCATGCAAATTCATAATATGTCAAACCACCAATCCAGAAAGGGGGAAGGGACTGTGACACTACCAACCTGCCTCCATCTTATTTTTTCTGTTACTTCTATATTAATCCCTTCTTTTGTACTCTACAGCTGGGATATTGGCACTTTTTTATTCCAGTGATATCATACCTGGCTTTTCTAACTACACTATGTGATTCTTATTTTTTGTTCCTTAAGCACACACAAAATTGCTGGATTAAGTTTCTTCAAGCACTACTTTGATCAAGTCATTTCTCTGTTGAAGAACTTTCAGTGGTACCTGTCTGTCTATGGAATTAGGTGGGAGCTCCAGGCAGCGAGATGTCCTGCCTCAATTGATTTGTGTAAGAGCCTACCTCTGGCTGATATCTAGCAAATGCTCTTGATGTTTCCTTGTTGTTCTTGTTCTTTTGGTTCTTGAAAGTGAAATCATACAACCTAGTTGAAGGCAAGTTCCAGTTTGTGTCTTTCGCTATGATTAATATTGGTGAATTATCAAGAGTGGAAGCCACATATTAAACAAAGTTAAGACTGTATGCACTGAATAAAGGATCGTCCCTTCCCAGGCATCCCATATCCTAAATGAAATAGGCACATTAAGATACGACCAGTAATACACTTCGGGAAAGATAAGTGATATTTTAATTAATGACAACTTGTAGAGATCTTCAAGAGGACCAAAGTGACTTCACAGCTGAAAGCTAACTGATTGTTTCCCAACTGAACTTTTAAGATGAGTATTCAGCCATGAGCATAATTAAACAAGTCCACAAGACATGAGAAACGGATTACCCTTCAGATGCTGGGTCAGGCAAACCAGGTGGTCAAGAACACAGTGTTCTCTGCTTGAAAACTACCGTTCAGTTGCCAGACTTTACTGCCCCTTGGGCTCTTTCATTCTATTTCTGGCCTTTGTCTCTTGCTCTGTCACACCAATGCCCTTCTGGGTTTAGATTTTATGTCCTCATCATCTAACACATCAAAGGATCAAAGAGTTCAAAGCTCCTCAGGCTGCCAGTATTTTATTTAGTTTAAAAAGTCAACAAGAATGAAAAATTGTGCCCATTTTCCTCTTTGCAAGAAAACAAAATTCAAAATTAAGGTGAAAGCACAGAGGATCTGTGCCGTTCAAAATAAAAACCAACCTCTTCACATATATATACCCCTTACAAAGTGAACCACTGAATTTTATGAAACAATTTAAACGTTGCTAATTAAAATCTTCATGATGCTAATGCATTCTCAAATCAATCTCTGCCACTTTGTTGTACAAATGGAACATTGGCAGCTTCTCTTTCAATATCCATAATACCATTTGTGGAACAAATTTGAACTTTTGATTCATTCAACAAACAATTATATCAAGCACCTACTATGTGTCAGACACTATGCTGGGTGCAGAGCAAGCAAAATGGAATGACTTTCTGATTTCAAAAGAATTCTGGTCTCTAAAGCAGTGCTTCTCAAACTATTTTCTTATTAATCTGTGCCCTCTTTTGATAAACATAAATATCCTTCTCCCACTTCCCAGAAATTCTGATGGATCCTTCTCACAGTGAGAATCACTGATACACAGAACATAGACTCTATTTTCTGTGTATTCTTCACAGACCAAATATCTTTGAGCTTTCACTTTTTATTTAAAAAAACAACATACTTATTTTCCATACACAAAACTGGGTTGGAATATTAAAGATACTTTTTTGAACCACATATGGTACCCCGCTGTCAATCCCAGAACTGAAATTCAAATTCCTGTACCCAGCCCTATTGAGAATCACTGCTTTAAAGAGTTTTGGAGAAAACCAGGCAACCTCCATCTTTCCCCTCCAATCAAATCTTAAAGGAATTAGAATTTTCCTACCTGACACAACAGCTGGTGGAGTATCATAATCCTGTCTTGGGACTGAATCTTTGAATGAAAAGAGCATGAGAAAGAATGCAATGAAGTACAAAAGAAAATAAAATAGAATCTTAGCTCTAAAACGTGGAAGTGCCCACTGTATGTCATATGGTTGCCTAAGCCCCCTGCCTTCAAACACTCAAGGCACTATGACCCCTAGTTGACAGTTGACACAATGGTCCCCCAGTACTGCCACATGGTACATGTTGGGAGGCCCCCGTGAGACCTGCTGGAGCAATACATTCTATCTTAGGACGCTGGCATCTTCCTCAATCTGTCATCATTTTTGGCCCCTACATGGGGGAATCACTGTGAAATTTTTACTCTCTCTGGCTGACGCACATGTTCTAAAAGGCAGCCCATCTGGAAGCGGCCCAGAGCACAATGTGAAACGAAATTCTGGAGAACAAAAGAAAGAACTAAAATTTTAAAAGAGATAAATGAAAAATTTCCATATTCCCACACTCTATGGAGACTGATACAGTTTTGAAACTAGAATTTCATTAGTAATCACTCAGGCCTGGCTCTGATCTCAGTGGCTGTTGGACAAGGCCAAGGAGCTTTGTGGGCTGGAATGGTGAGAGCAGAGATAAGTAGAACAGAATCTACTCAACAGATGATTGCTGTCTTTTTTCAAAGTGTCATAGCCTTGAAGTGGCAAATAGTAGAGAAAGGTTAATTTTAACCACATGGCATCCATTTCCAAATTACAGGTTATGTGAAACCAAATACATCTGCTTTCTAAAAAGATGAAACTTTGGCTTAATATAATTCCTTTAGCCAAGGATCTTAAAAAGTAAAGTGGGACATGGCCTATGGCCCAAGGCCCCCCTTCTAAAAATGGAAAGTTCTCATCCAGCGCCAACTCCCCTTAGAGGGGCAAACTGTATAAAAGGGACCAGATATTGCTCACATTCAAATAAAACGCCAAAACATGATTAAATAGATGCTCTTCTACGACCCTTATTCTAGTCACGTGACCATTATTCATTCCATTTTAAAAACAAAACCTCAAACTTCGTTTTCCCACCTCCTTGGTAACTGAATTTGGACTATCACAAATTTCTCCATTTAATCTCCTTGCCCCAAAAGGACGATGTTAATCCCTCTCTCATGAGCAAATGGCATGTGAGAAGACAGATTAAAACTTGGACATTGCAAGGCACTTTGACCAGCAAAACCCAACATGGATCAAAGATTCAAATGCAAATAAACCTTGGATATGAGTTATTTTGTGTCTCAAAACAGGTATGTGAATGTGAGTTAATTATAATCCCCAAATCTAGAATAAGTAGAATCAATTTTAAAGGACCTTCAAATATTTCATTAATAGTGGTAGTATTTCCTAGTACCTTTTAAAAAACTTCAATCACATATTACTACAAATCAAAAAAAAGTTGATTTTATGACCATGTCACTAGTCATTTCCCAAGAATATATTTATAACATTTAAAAATAAATCATATAAGTAAATCATGCTCATTGTTGAATACTTGCAGAATGTAGAAAAGTATAATGATTAAAATAGAAATTATCTCTAATCTCATCATCTGGAAATAACCACACTTATTTTGTATTTCTTACAGCCTTATTTAATATTTTTTTCATAGTTGATACTATATTTCCACACGTGCAAATTTACATCCTGCTGTTTTGATTTAAGATCATAAATAATCCTTTTCCTATTTTAAACTCTTATAACTTCATGCTGCCTCACATTCTGGTTTATGAATGGATTATGATTTATTTGATCATTCTTGTTTATTAGACATTATAAAGAACACAGTGTGGGATATTTCTGAGGTCTAAAGGCTTTTCTATTATTTTAGAATATTTCTATAGAATAGCTTCTCAAAACTATAACTGTGTGGTGAGTTGGCAGAGCTGTTTTGAAGGGTCTTGACTGCCCACCTTGAAATTCAACTGACATTTTTACAAATTTAGATTTCTATCATCACACTGTCAGTGATTGAGAATGTTTATTTCCTCACACCTTCATCAGCAATATGTTTTATTTTGATGACTTCATTTAATGGGTTATGTGTGTATGTCCATGTAAGTAGTTGATTAATTTGCTGTTTCCTTAATTACTTTTTTCATATGTTTTTTGGTATCCTGTTGCTCCTTTATTACCTATCTGTTCATGTTCTTCGTCATTTTATCTATTGGGGCTTTTGTACTCTGTTGCTAATGTATCTTAATTCATAATCCATTTTTTAAACCACAAAAGCTTGATATTTGCAAATAAACTTTCATAATACTAGACTTTCACTTAATGCCTACTTATTTATTGTTTATAAGACTACTATCAAAGTTCATTTATCTTACACTAAGACTAAACAAATTTTTAAAAACTATTTCCTTTTACCTATATTTTCTTTCTTGTATCTGACCATTTTTAATTAATTGATATTTTCCTGAAAGTGTACTCATTACCATTTATGAATTTATAATACTAGGTCCTAATCCTGAGTCCACTTAACATCCTACGTTGCTTTTTATCACTGTCAATCTTAATACTCACATTCATAGCTAATACTTGAGGAAAGACAGTCTCTAGGCAAAATGAATAGTTCAGGATTTTCACCTGATACCGTTAGAATTTTATAGCGATAAAAATGGAATGATGTGACTGAAAAATGTAGAGAACCATGGTGAACAAATGGACTACAATTAGAAGATTATCTTTGTGCGTGGCTATGGTTACACCATGGGACTCCAATGATGTCACAAATCACCAGTGGATTCGAGAGTACAAACAGAACTGTAGATAAGGAGCCTGCAGAACAAAAACTTTTTATTTCTTTGAACAGAGTCTGGTGACATTGTAAGCCACTGGTGACCACCAACTGAACAAATGAAAAGGAGATAAGAAACTTGTAAAACAAGATTGTCATGCAATTTGGAGGTTCTCATAACACAGTAAAATCCCCAGTGGTTTCTGCTAAAGCTTACAGTGGAGTGATAAGAAATTATGGATAACAGTGCTTTGGTTCTATAGAGGGAATTCTGTGACCAAAAAAAAAAAAAAAGAAAGAAAGAAAAAGAAAAAAAAGAAAATAAACAAAAGCAGAAAAGCTAGAAAATTCTTCAAGGTCAGCAGAGTCCTGGGATAAAATTATACCGCTTCCTTACAATTCATTTCTCCTAAGGCCTACAGATTCTGTCCAGCTTTAAAATGGACAAAGAATTCAACAATAAACATTTGAGGTGACAAATGGTAGACAAAGGTTAGTCAAACTACATGGTACCCATTTTAAAATTTAAGAGTTATGGGGGATCAAATATATTTAATTTTATGACGATAAAAAAGAGGCTTTGGCTTAATATACTTCTTGATCCCAGGGATCTCAGAAAGAAAAATGGGACATGACCTGTGGCCTCAGGTCCGCTTTCTAGAAATGGGAAATTCTAATGTGGCTCCAACCCCCATCAACCCTGATCCGTGCCTACTGGATTATTCACTGGACCTCTCTCTGGGAACTGCCCTTGGGACCTATCTGTTTCTGGCATTAAGGTTCCTGTCTTCATCTAGAGTTGTCACTGCTCACACCTTGTCTTGCAGAGTTTCTGGGAGCTTAGACATCTGAAAGCCCCTGAGAAGTTACAGGTAGGAGAGAAACATGGTCAGATAATTTTAGATTGACTGGCTGTGGCAACATGGTAGAAAATGGACTGAAGCAAGCTAAGGGCAGTTAGGAGACTATTGCAATTAATCAAATGAGGCCCGGGGTAGAGACTCTAGAAATGTGGAGGAAGGGATGTATTTGACAAATGTCTATGGGACAGAACTGGTGATCTTCAATAGTTGCATCTGGTGGTGAGGGAAAAGGAAAGAGTGGAGATTGAGTCCTAAGTGTAGCATTTGACTGCCTGGGCAAATGGTCATGGGATTAGCTGGAGAAGAAATAAGGAGCAGAAACACATAAGAGGAAGAGGGTCCGTGGAAAGGAAGTTGGGGGAAACTCATGAGGTTAATTTGGGTTGTACTGCCTTTGAAATGTTGGAAGGAGATTTACATGGAGCTATTTAGCAAGTTGTTGGTTAAGTGGTTGCAAAAGTCTAAGATGAGGTTAGCATTGAGGACTCAGATTTAGGGGTCTTCAGCATTTCTAGAAGGTAGAGTTCAAAACCATGAAAGTGGATGAGGTTGCTTAAAGAAATCTTATATGAATGAGAAGTTAAAAATGAAACCCTGGCTCAGCAGCCTGTAGAAGCAAAGAAGAAGCAATGGCCAGAGACATCAGAGGAGAACCAGGAAAACCTTGGGCAGGAGTCACAAACTGAGAGCACTTAGGACAAACTGGGTCTGATATTCAAATACAGGGAGATTGCCCATTAAAATGTAAATACTTAGCTTAGCTTCAAAAATTGGAAGGTGAGGCCACCTTGGGTCAGTATGCCCAGGTAGCAATAGCTGTCTGGAGTTCAGCCAGGGCTGTCCTCCTTAGACATGGCTGCCAAAGTACCCCCTGTCCCTATGACTGATTCATCCCACACTCAGGCAGAGCTGTTACTATTATTGCATGAAAATATCTCTCATTTAAAATATAATCTCCAATATCATGTGTATTAATATTGTATGACTATGTTTGTGACATGATAAATGTAGACCAAATTTGATCTATTTCCAGGGCATTTTGCTTGACCTTTGTCAGCTTTATTCATTAATGTGACTTAGCCGGCTTCTCTGGACTTTTGGGTTGACCATCCTGCAAGAGTTAGAACTAAGGAAATAGAAACTTGAAAGAAATAAGTTATGCCAAATGAAAGAGAGTGGGCCGGAGACTTGTACTATGGCCTTGATAATGTTCTACATCCTTTCTGGAGACCTGGACTGAATGGCCACATGGTGAAGCCACTTGAGGTAGAGGGATAAAGACGGCTCATTTGATAAGCACCTAGCGGGTGTCGCACACTATTTTAGGTATGTTACATATATCATTCCATTTAACACAACACCACTGGGATGTACGTATTACTTTCCCCCTTAGTAAAAGAGGAAATCAAAGTTCAGAGAGGAGGTTAAGTAACCTAACACACATAGCTAGTAAGGGACAGAGCCCAGCTTTGATCTCAAGTTTAATTCTAACGCCCACTGTTCTTCCCATGATACCAAGCCACCGTCCCAGCAATAGATAAAGCAATGGAAAAGATTCAGTAAGGTGGAGAAATTTGATTAAAAGAATCCATTTCAACTGCATAATAGCCACTACACATGGCAATCAAAAATTCAGATAAAAGGAATCTATGATGGCACATCAAAGTGTAAGAGTGACAGTTTGAGGAAAAAAATTATAGCCATATTGTGGACACCACTAAACAGCAACAAAGTAACAGTGTTCCCTCTCTGGCTTTCCAGAACCTTATGGAATTTTAACCCTTGGCAAAACATCGATTTACACAAAGCTTATGATGTGCCTAAGCATTATTTAGTATAAATGTGAAGCAGGAAAAGAGTGAAAAAAAAATTAGAAGAAATTTGGTGTTAAAAATAAGCCACCTGCTTAAAACTCTCTAAGAAAGGGAGGGAGTATATATCATTATTTAGTAATTTGGCTATTATTAGCTGGGTAAAAATTATGATCTCATATAAATGTGTTCTTCTTGAAAATGCTCAAATACTAATCATAATATATGTTACTGAATCAGCAACTATTGTAATTCTGATTTTATTCTACATATTTTAGCTATTTTTCAATTCTCTAAAGGATTCAGTCATATTCTTAATTAACTTAGCTCTTGTATTTTTTTCTAGTTGGCAAATCTGAATTTCAGCCACTTAGCTGGTTTTGCTTTTGATTCAACTAAGTAGGATTTATCAAGTGTTTCTTTCTATACTTTGTATTACAACTCACTCTTTTCTCAGAGTCTAGATTGTCGTTCAAAACAGTAAGATTGCATTATTTCACTTGTTCAGAATTTATCATCTTTTAAGGAGAGAATGGCTGATATGAAGGGAAATCAACACTGTGGACACGAGAAACTTCAATTTCTCCCAATGAACTTGGGAACTGCTTTGTTAGTAAATGAGCAAAGTGACTAAATGTTTATGGAAATTACATGACTATGTTTGTGACATGAATAAATATAGACCAGATTTGATGATATAGTTCCAGGGTTTATTAGTCATAGTCATGGTTGGCCCCTGACTTGTGAATGACCTGAGAATGACATATTAGCTGAAATGGGTAAGCATCTGGGAAAAGAAAACCAGGCTCAGATGTAGTATGTTACAAGGTCTAGATTTAAAGGTGCATACATAAAGACACTTTTCCATACACATTCCTAAAAATTATCTCCCTGATGAAAATTAGCTGTACCACAGTGTAGAGTTAAATGTAGTCTTAGATATGACTTGAAAGTCTAGGTCAGAGACCTAAGAAATTATTTGATCCAGCCCCTGCCTTCAGACAGGTAAGGTATCATCAACTGTTTTTTTATAACTTCAGCAACTGAGGTCTTCAGGTAGGTGCTTTGTGTTAATAAAACTAAATCTCTTTATTGAAACAATGTGACTCTTTCCATTAGGCAGATGGATTTTCTTCCTATTTAGAGCAGACTTTTGTGGCCTCAGTGGACATGTCAGAAACTTCTTATATTCCAAAAAGCCTATGAGTCAATACATTTATGTGGCAAGCAAGCCACTGCTTTAAGGTAAAATTTCTGATATAGAGCTAGTGTCCATAGCGTACATAGATATTTGGAGATGATGCCAGCATACCTGTGAAGAATCACAGAAGTGCTGACTAGGAGACATATAGGCTTAAAGTCATAGAGGCGGATAGTCAAAGGGCCCCCATATAGCATCACACTCAGTACTCAACCAGATAGAGAGGGAAACAGACTGGAAGAGACTATTTTCCCAAAGACAGAGTGAAAGAACAGTGCTCTGTGCAAGATTTGAGTTTAGTACTCCCAAATCCTAGTCCAGTGCTCTTTCTGTAATAATTAAGCTGTCTCACTCAGAAAAATGATTTTTTAAAAATTTTTACATCTTTAAAAACGACAAAATTATCTGCACTAACATTTGTAAAAAAAAAAAAAATAAAACCTGTTACCATAGTGTCACATGAAAGACTGGCTTTGATTTTGATGTTTTTCATTGTTATCTATACTGATGATGAACAAAATCGTAGTATTCCAGGTTGTATTAGACATTTGCCCTCTTAACCATTTGGGGAATTGTCTTTGAATAGACTTTTAAAAATAAAATAAAATTCTGTTAATGCTGCCAAATGGTTGCTATAAATCAATGTTGTAATAAGCATTTTTATATACTTTTGTTCCCTAAGGAAAAATAATGGCTTATCAAAAATACCTATCAAAAAACATCAAGTACACTAGATTCCTTTCTTTTTTCAACAACATCTGTCTACATATTCAAAACAAAGATGAAAAGAACTGGATTATGTCAGGTTCTCAATTACTTTTTATTGATTTAAACATTGAAAGTAAATAACAAGCTCTATGTATTAGTCAGAGTCAAGGTTGGCCCCCGACTTGTGAATGACCTGGGAATGATACATTAGCTGAAGTGGGTAAGCATGTGGGGAAAAGAAAACCAGGCTCAGATGTATTATGTTACAAGTTCTAGATTTGCAGGTGCATACATAAAGACACCTTTCCACAAACAGATATTATACCTGGTACATTGTGTCATTTGAACAAGAAGTAACTCAAATTTAAATGCAATACAGTGGAAACTTCAGCCTTGTCAATGTGAATAAATGTGCCCCAATATTGAATATGCATGTACAATGCAGCTTATTCACACTGGAACCTGAGACATGTGTTAGTCAACGGCACAGGGCCAGCTTTGCTATTAATGCCAGTAGAAACAGAGAGCATCGCATCTTACTGAAGCAGTCCAAGAAAACAAAGCAAAACCAACTCTTCAACTCACCGTTCCTGTTGTGCCCAATGAAAGATGATTCATCTGTTGTGTCAGGGGACCCATCATGTTTGCTGGCTGCATTGACATAGGATGGTCCATTGTTGGCGTAATCACAGCACCCTATAAGCACACACAATGTCCATCTGAAAACAGGTTCCACAAGGAAGGAAACTTTTAAAAACAATAAACACAGTGAACTATTTTAACATCAAATGTGTTTATTTTTTAATGAAAAAGCTAAGTTCAACCATGTATGATTTTTTTACACCCACCCATGCCATTTTGTGCTTATCTAAATAGAGAGCATTAATGACTTCCTTTTCCTCTGATGTGATTTATCTATGTTGTGTCTAAAATGCTTATCATTTATAATTCCAATATTCAATATAGAATGCATTCCAAGATATCATATATATATATATATATACATATATATATATCCTCTTTCATTGTTCTAAATACAAACTTCTCTAACTGAAAAATACTAACACTATGGAAATTATCTAGTTTTTCTCAATATTGAATAAGATTTTTTGGCTTATGCCTTAATCCATGATTTATATGGATAATTATTGATCATCTCAATACAATCTACCACCGGAGGAAGAATGGTGGCCCAGGTGAGTTTCTTGACTGGATCTTTTTGAAGGACAGAGTAAAATCTAATATAAATGATATAAAAATCAGATTTACTATTTTCTATGTTTTTTCCTCCTAATCTTTTGACCTACTTTCTTTCTATCTGTGCTTTTGAACAAGACAGAATACTGAACTCTGTTAAATGCTGGTCAAATGCAACACTGCTAAAATATTACCAAAAAAAAAAAAAAAGCCAAGTTTTCATCAGGTGTTAAGAAAGACCTACTTCTAGAATATGCTCTTTGATTTATTGTAACTGTTGGGAATGGAAAAAGTAATAGGCATTTTAAAAAAACTTCTGTTCATGTACAAAGTTTCACATAGCTAGTGAAGCAAAGGGCAAGTGCTTTCTTTTCCTCTCTCCTACTTATTCTACCTTAATTGAGTAGCTGAGAGAATGGAACAATTTTTTTTTAATTGAAAAGCTAGGGTTGGATAGAATCTTTGAGATTATTGAAATTTCAGTGCTTTACTGTAAAGTTGATCATACACGTAGAAGCTCATGATATCACAACTCATTTAAATACCCACTGGTAATAAAATGATGATGTATCTGAATGCTATTTTTGTCTGTAAACATTTTCTCACTGTGTGACTTTTTCCCCATATACATGAACATTTTGAAGAAATAAAACTAGGACAGATTCATGTAGATGGCAGGATCTCAGCACCCAAACTACCCATAAGCAAATGTTTCTTGGAACGTTTTGCTCAGGATGATCGATTCCTTTGGTATTATCCAAATCTGATTTCCTGACTATCTGTTAAAAAAAAAAAGAAGATCAGGCTTTCATTCATCCTTCCTTGTGGGCTCCTCCTCATTAGTATGGAGGGAGAATAAAAATTGAGTCAAATATTTGGAAATGCTTGATTTTCAGAGCGAACGTTGTTTGCAAGGATATTTGTGCTTCTGGGCTAGAATCAATCAGAAAAAAAAATATATATGTTATTTTAAAGGTCTGAGGCTTATATATATACATAGCTGTGCATTTGTGTTGTTCTAATTTCTTGATGTGTCCATGAATTGTCATTCATCAGTATACTTCTTGAATCAGAAACATGATAAGCTTTTACCTAATTATAATTCAGAGACATACCACTTTCTTTTCCTGCTGCCTGAATTTCTTTAAACAAAACCACCTTAATTTTTTCCTTTAAAAAAAAAAAACAGCTTCTGTCCTTTATTTCTGGTATTTGTTGTACCAGACCAACAGTAAACACTTTAAAAAGAACTGGGTCCTTCTTAAAGCACTTAAGGATAAACTACAGAAAGATCTCAGAGTTAAGACGAAGTCCTGAAGCATTTTTTTTTTTTTCAACCAAGAAGTGGCACTTTCACAACATTCTAATCCTTAGCAGGTGCAAGACTTCAATACTGTTCTTGAACTTGAAACTTAGACTACCTTCTTAGAATATTGCCCCTGGAAATCCCAACAGCTAAACTGTCACAACCCCGAAACCCTCCTATTGTAATCAACCTGCTCTAGCTACATAAAGGATTGCTCGTCATAAATCAGAGATAAAGACCAAATTGTGTTTGGTAGAAAAAACTTTCTTCTCAGTGCCCTAGAGGTGACCTCATTCTCCAGTGGTGCAAGAGGTAGACTTCAGTCTTTGTTTGGGAGGCAATATGCAAATGAGATATGTGAGCATATGACAGATGAATCAAAATCCATGCATGATAAGAATAGAAGGATTGAATGCCAGCATTTGGAATTAATTTAGGAAGGATTCTTTGGTCTCTTTACAGAATCCTTTCTCAGAAAGTGTTTGGGGACTCATTTGATTACAGATGACACAGAGGGAGTGCTGCTTCTGTGGATAAACCAGAAACTGACAATCAAAGGGAAGAGTAGGAAGGGGGTTGTCATAATTTGGAATTGTAAATAGCAGCAGTAGGCATAAAGTGGAAAACAATGAAGGGAAACATTCCTTTCTGTTCACCAGGCCACTTACTGCAAATAAATGAACAATAAAATAAGGATTCTTGGGGGAAGACAGAGCCACTGTCTCTGCCTCTTCATGTTCAATGATGAAAGAATTCCCGCAAATTATTAAGAACATAAATTCCTTAATAGTTTCAAGGCGTGAAAGAAATTTACAATCAGTGAGTAAATTGGAAGTTGTAGACAGGAAACCCCCAGAGAGGCACATCTTCTTGAGGATACTTGATCGAGGACAGACAACTTAGAGAGTTTGAAGTGCAGGTTATCTACATCAAAGACTGGTGTTTGCCAGCCACCTTGCTCATCAAAGATTAATTCTCCTCTGTGTTGTGTAGGACATTAAAAAACAAAACAAAACAAAACAAGGAAGAGAGAAAAGAAGAAAAAAAGAACAAAAAAGGAAAAAAATAAACCTGTGATTCTTAAGGCAAAACTAGTGCCCCCAACCATAACTGTGCCTAATTAAATATACTGTCACATCTATTCCTATTCAATGCATTTAAGCCATAGATTGAAGAGTGTTTTGTGACAGATGTTGCCAACACATTAAGGGTAATTTCGTTTACTCCAAATGTATAGAATGTGCTGTCTGAAAAAGTTCACTTGGCAAATGGCAAAGCAAGAGGAAACAGATTTTTCATTTTAGCATCTCCGGATGTCTGGGTTTGTTCAATATTTAAGCTGCAGAGAAAAATACTGAAACATGCTGTAATTCCACTAAAAAACACAATGACCAAACAGCTGATGGGAATGTCTGGTCTATTTTAGCCACTGACTCTGCAAAAACAAAGCTGTTAACACTCGAGAGATATGGGGTGGATCTGGTCACCCTAGTTCTGAAATAAACAATTTCAACAGTAATTTGGACAAAATTCCCAAAGATCATTGATGTAGAGTAAACATATCTGAACTGAAGCCAAAAAAGCTCCTGTGTTGTTAGCCTCCTACCAGTATTTTAAAGAAATTTTAAGTCTTGGAGAGTTCATCAGTATTTTATTTTTCCAACTGAAATGAGGATCGTTGGCAAATCAGGGGAAACATGTAGAAGTTCTCTCCTACCAAGAGCACACATGGTGGGCTGAGAACCTATATTAAGGCCAGGACATGGACTACAATGAGAAGAATTGCCTGTACAAATATTCCTGTGAGTGTGAGTATTTTAGACCAGTGTCACTTCAAGTACTACGTGTGGACCAGCAGCAGTGGCGGACCAAGAATTGGAATTTGCGTCCCTGAGCTTTGGGTCTCGAAATCTGTGTTTCCACAAGCTCTCCACTTGATTCTGGTGTCCTCTGAAGTGTGATAAGAGTGCTTTTGCCTATAAACTGCTCTTGTATAGGCCAATGTCACAGATACAGTGCCTTAGATACAAAAACTTGGTTTTATCTTATTTATACCATGTCTCCATTATGTTTTAAACCAGGCTGGTGATGGGGCATGATTAGAGCAATAATCACATTATATCTTGTTTAAAAATGCAAAAAGGTCAAGCCTGCATTTTTGATCAGCTGAAATGGGGTGATTGTCTGAATAATTCAGGCCTAAGCCTGATGACCTGACATGCTTCCATTTGACCAGTGTGGCTTATGCTGTAGCATATTTGAGAATCCCTCCTATTTGGAATCTTAGTAAGGCTTAAATGTGAAATCATAAGAATGTAAAAGGTAAGAAAATTATTTGGATAATGCAAGTGGAAAAAAAAAGAAATATCACTCTCTTTTTTCCTTTTCTCATATCTAGATGCCTCAGGTCAAAATGTTTGTGGCCTATACTAAACTCTTTTCCTACAGTGACTTACGCAGAACTACAGGACTTTTTCATAGTAATCATTCAACACAACTTAAAAAAAAAAAAAACACGGTTTAAAATCATCGATCTTTGTTCTCATCTGTATGTTTTCTGCTTCTCTGTCAGTTTTTAAGATTTCTAGAATAAATGTCTAGTTGAGCCTGTGTACACCAGACTATTTTTAGCACATGTAAAACAGGGCAAAGAATGATAGGAGCTCACAAGGAAGCTAGTTAGTGTCAATGATTTTCCCATAGCAACAATGATTTCATAATAGAAATGGCATAAAGGTGTATCGTTTAACTTGGGGAAGCGCTACCCAAATGCAATGTCCTGCAATGTTAATGTGCAACATTCCTGTAGTATACGTAGAGATGTTTAATTTTTTTCATTTGTTGATGTTGGCATGTTTTTTGTTGTTCTTTCTTTCTTTCTTTCTTTCTTTCTTTCTTTCTTTCTTTCTTCTTCTTCTTCTCTCTCTCTCTCTCTCTCTCTCTCTCTCTCTCTCTTTCTTTCTTTTTGAAGGCAGCTGCTTGGCATGGTTTAAGAAAGGCTGCCATGGGGAGAGAAAAAAAAGGGAGCCAGAGAGGCCTCCATCCTTCCATATACTCATTAATCCTCAACTATCTTGATAAATTTTCAACCAACTTAGAGGAGGCAGTCTGGCTTTTTAAACAATTATGTTTGAAACCCAAAAAGCTGTGGCAAAGCTGGTAGATAAGACTTCAACTGTGAAAGCATTTGCAG